CCGTCCTTTCTTGTTCCCTTTCAGATTCCTCATTATCCTCCATCTTACCAGATTTCTTCTTCTTCCTCTACCTCCTCCCTTGGTCTAGTCCTATCCACATCCTGGGTGAATTCCTTTATTCCTTTCACCGTCAGTTGGGGAATATCCTCTTCCTCCAGTATCGCTTTTCGCAGCCTCTTAAAGCGCATCTCCATCAATCCCGGGCATCTCATTAATATGTGTTCTGCTGTTTCCACCGCATCTTCATCACAGAACTCACACGTCTCTTCCTGCAATTCCCCCATCCTTGTTAAGTGATGGTTTAGGATGGCATGTCCTGTTAGGATACCTGCCACCCTTCTTGTATCTTCACGCGGAAGATCCATCAGATCCCTCCAATTTTTGTAAACGGGGTTCTGCCCGATCATTGCTTTGGCTACCCTGCATCCCTCTGCCGAGTCCCATTTTCGTTTTCTTTCTCCCTCGCGCCATCGCTTCCTACCTAGAGCGGAAACTGCTTCCGCTAGCGGTACTTGCCTAGGTACCCCTTCTGGTGGGGCCCTCCTAGAGCCTAGATTTGCCAGTTTGTCTGCCTGCTCGTTTCCTGGAATGCCTCTGTGGCCCGGCACCCAGCATAACGTTAGCTTATTTCCTCTTGACGCTAGCTCATTAAGATGCTCCTTGCATCTCTTGGTAGTCAGTGAGGTATGCATGAGCTTCTGAATGCTCAGCAACACCGCCTGGCTGTCTGTAAAAATTCTTACTTCTTTTTGTCTCGTACCCCTATCCATTAATAATTTTGCACATTTCATTATCGCGAATGCTTCCGCTTGGAAGACTGTTACGTCTTTTCCTAGGCTTGCATAATGCCTACCCATCTTCCCATCCGTCCATCCTGGTCCTGCCAGATCGTTTCTTCCTGATCCGTCCGTGTACCAATCAATATGACTCCCTGCTAATATCTTATTACCCTTCCATTGTTCCCTAGTAGGAATTATTACCTGAAAATTTTGTTCCGGAATCATGCTCGGAGCGCATCTGTCCTGTTCCATGTCCATCATTTCGTTCATCTCTCTGTTCGCCTCGTTCTGCATTATTGACGCGTGTCCATAGTTATTTCCCGTCCAGCTGTTCCAGCACTTTAATCTATGTGCTGTTCTTACTGCGATATCTAGAATCACAATATCTAACGGAGTTGTATTCGTTAGTACCTCCATTGCTCTCAATGGAGTGGTACTTAACGAACCCAGAGCTCTCCTGAGTGCCAATCCCTGGAGGCTATTTAGTTTATTCTTCACGGTGGTCATTTTGGCAGCTTGCCACCATGCAATCGCCCCATGGGTCACCCTCGGCACCACTATGGATTTATATATCCAGTTTGCGATGCGAGGGGAAAAACCCCATGTCCCATCTATGGCTCTACTCACCATATATATGTTATTTTTTCCGCATGCCACTTTGTTGAAGACATGTCTTCTCCATAATAACTTCTTGGTGAACGTAACTCCTAAAAATTTCACCTCGTCCACCAGTTTTAAATCCTTTCCCTCGTACCTTAGAGGTTCCGTTGCTGGTATCTTGATACGTTTGGTAAAGCGTACCACTTCCAATTTGTCCGAATTGACTGATAACCCCATACTGTCGCACCATATCTTCAAAATTTCCAATGCTTCTTGGGCCTTGTCATGCGCCTCGTGTATATCACTACTAATTGCTAAAAAGACTACGTCATCCGCATACGCTGATATGGTCACCCCACATCCTTCTAGCGCATGCAGTAACGAATTAATCGCCAAACCTGCGTACCAGACCCGAACCAAAGGAGTACACAAGCATGGTAGTGCAAGCGAGATTCTCTGTTTACGGAGCAGCCTCCCGACTACTCCGTACCCTTGCACGCACGAGTCTTTCTCCAAATCCTACTTACCAGGCAAAGACTAAACACGTCCGATATCTGGCTTCTCAATAGAAACCAGAGGGATCGGCAAACAGTCTTAGTGTACAGACCCACTGCCCGTACCATAGGTACAGACCCACTGCCCATACCCCAAGTCTGTGTAGAGAATCAACGAGCAAAATGAATTAATAATAACTTCGTATGCACAATGGATGGTCACAATTTAAGTTTATTAATAGATAGACTAAAATTAATAATAAACGATGTGATGATGAATATGAATATACCAATGAATATTGAATTATGATTTAAGTGTAACTTACAATAACTTAACGCAATGGTAGACGCTTTGAGGATGTAGACGTTGATCGATGTCTTCTTTCGATGGAATAACTGATTGGAAAAAATTTTTTCATTATACAATACACATAGAATACATAATATGCACAGTATAGAAATCACAGTATAGAAATCACAGTAAATAAATCACAATAAATGAATCACAGTACATAAGAAGATAAATATCGAAGCCAATGGTTCTCGAACATCTGTAATATACAAGGAATTAGTAACAAGAGAGGGGACACAACTATATGCACAGTAAATAAATTAATAATATGCAGAGTAAATAAATTGATGGTCGTCGAATGCCTGCAACAAACAATGGGTTAGTAACAAGAGAAAGGACGAGTATGAGACGCGCGCCCACCCAACCAAGTGAGGAAGCTAACGCCGTTATGTATTGGGCGTACGCAGGTTTGTTCCTGTTGAATTGTTTTTGCCGACTTGAACGACCTTCCTTGAACGACCCAAACACCGGATGGTACAGCCAGGTACGGCTATAGTACACGGCGTACACGGCTAGGTCAATAAACTGTGTGACGCAACGTCACTAGTGCGTTGGACCGACGGAGAGCACCGATACCGCGGCACGCTCTACCGTACTCTCTCGCTCGCACACCTCTCCTTATAGACATAGACCACTGAAATTCCTCAGCACGCGTCGACACCGACAGAGAGCACCGATACTGCGGCTCGCTCTATCGCTCTCGCTCTCTCCCTTTCGCCCGCTCCGATCATCTTCGGCCTCGTTCGATACGCGTCGACACCGACGAAGAGCACCGATACCGCAACTTGTGCTACCGCTCTCGTTTATTTATGATGTTCATATTCCCCAAATAAATATCATACTTAACTAATTTGTTTAAGCGACATGTTCCTTTTAAAGATTTAGCTCTCCAGTATAAATCCCTAAGACCCTTATTTATTATTCATTTCACAAAATAATTGCAAATATGAAACTTTTTTACCTCTTCTTGAACATTCTAATTTCATAGCCCTAAACTGGGTACCTGAAAGTATTTCATTGAATTTGTGTAAAAGATTTTACTACTTCCTAAAAGATTCCGTGTGATATTTGATAGCATAAAAAACAATGTGCCGATACAGGGTTTCGATTTATTTACGAAACTAATCTGACCAGTTGCTGCATTCTTTGACACTAATTTTCAAGAAAATAAAACTTCTGTATTTCACTTAATTTGAGAGACACGTAGCTGAATATTAACATACGTTCATTATTTAATTACTCGCAATAAATAAAATTTTTGGAAGTAAATAACGTGTAAGTAAATTCATATGTAAAAATTTACCAATTGCCAGAAAGTAATTGTTCGTGCGTATTAAAATTCTTACAATAGGCAGTAAAACTATTCACACTCCCATATAAATTATAAATATGTAGATGTTAATGAAAGCGGTGTATATATTCTTCCACGTGTAGATTTGATAAACTATTTATGAAACTATATCTATTCTGAATTTATCTGTTACAAATATACAAATGTAAAGCAAAATATAAAAGCGAATAAAACAAGAACATGTAAAAAGTAACATTAATAAAAATGTCCATTAACGATGCATTTAGAATAAATTGTCTTGTAGTTAAGTGAAAAAATATATACTTTTCCGTTTCATGTTTCATGACTGTCATATTTATCCCTTAACCTTAAACTGAAGCATCGGATATTTTTATTCTCGTGAAATCATATAGATACACGTAATATGAATGGAATATATAACACTTCATTTGTGCTAATAATACTCAGAATTCATGCTTTATCGGTAACGTCGGGTATTGACACTAAAATGGTAACAGGGCTACGTAGCCCTATGAACGTGGGACAGAAAAAAACATTGGATGATAGGTCTATTCTATACCTAGTCGGTGGTTGTATCGTTTAGGGGGACACATTCTGTAATGCATATATATTTTTGCAAGTGGAGGTGTTTCGGAGATTTGAAGGTCAATTTCGGTTTTTTAAATGGAATGCTATATTTTTTATGCCAAAATATCGAAGAGCGTTAAATTTGGAGTAAAAAAGTAATAATATCAGCCGTAAACCTAATAATCAACGAATAATTTCACTTTGTCTCTTGAAAATGGTCTGTACGTAATATCAAATTGAAGATTCAATACTCCATACCAGTAAAGATTTTCGTAAGACTAAGGCCGGTATTCATAGTCGCTGCGTATTCTTATGCATTTGCTTAAGAACACGGTCGCATATACAGGTCCGAACTCCCGTGGTGAGGGTAATCCCTTAATAAAGACCAAAATTTCATGAATCTTCCGCTAGCTACACAGAGCTGCAATCGATGCGTCCATACAAAAACGCATGCTGATGCAGCGCACGGTCGCATACCTCGTCGGTGCTGTTGCGCCACTTTTTCCCCTAGTGGAAGCCGACTTTGCTCGTGGGTGTACTCTCACGAGTAAACTTGGCTTCTTCTAGGGAAAAAAGTTATGTAAGGAAATATTTATGCCAAATTAACATTGGATTTAACATTTATATCAGTAGTTGAAATAAATTTATCAAGTGGCGGAAGGTTTTTCCCCCTTCCCCTTCATCACTTTTTCCCCTAGCGGAAGCCGAGTTTGCTCGCGAGTGAATATGCCTTATGCATACATAGTCCTCTAGGGTCTGGAGTGTCAAAATGATCAAAAGTGCTCAGCTGAAGTGCACTCCATTCAACTCCATTGATGAGATCAGTCGATCGAACTTCGAAGTTCCTTCGTCCCTTCGTGTGTATTGTGGTAGCTTAATCGTGTCGAAATGTTTGGTAAACATTGTAATTTTATTCTTGACTATAATATTTCACACAACGATCGTTTTAATTACACCTCGTTTATGCTTATAACTTATCACAGAAATTTATTTCCTACTTGTAATATTTACATTGAATTTTCTTTAGGTTGTTGCTGGTGTTGTTCTGCTTTACGTCCTCGATATAAAAGACTCGTTGACAATATTTTCCCGGTGAATCCAGAGGTAACATTCTTTACTGTTTATTTATTGTCAAATAGTTACACTATCATCATACATTTATGTATGTAACAAATCTAAAATTATAGCTTTCCTGTTATATAATACATCTTGTATATAATTAATGTCAATAGTCTTGGCAGTTCTGCACAAGTTTTTAACAAATTATGAATTATTGGAGATAAAAAATAATTTCAAATTGTTTATAATCATAAATATATTGCAATCATTTCTACATTTTCAATGCAATATTATTTAAAGACTGCAAAACGATCATATATGATTTTTGTTAAAAAATATTAATTTTAGATTAGTATTCTAAAAATTAACTTATAATTTATTATGCATTGATCAAAGTATTTCTCCTTATGATGCCTGTTTATTATACTGTTGGCTATCAGAAATATCATATTCTGTAGTAAACTTGTTTCAAAATTTTATCTCTACCATGTTTTGTTCTAAATCACAAAATATAATTGTTTTATTTATAATTATTACATATGATTATATTTTGTAGTCAGCATAAGTATAAATATTAGTACATTTGGTATACAAGTTTGTCTAGATAGTCATACAGACTATAAAGGATTACGAAAAAATGTAGTAACAGGGAACATTTAATTTAATGAATTGTTTCAAGTTGAATTTGATATAAATAGTTTAATGGAGTAATAATATGTAAATTAATATATGAAATTTATATTTGTTAACATCTACTATGACACAAATACTACTATTCGTTTTAATAAATAATGTACTACTTTTGATAACTAGGATGGCTTGGTCAAAAATAATATGGAAAAGTTAACCTTTTATTCATTAAGTAGTCCTGAAAAACTAGATAGGATCGGAGAGTATTTGTTTCAAAGGGCTTCCAGAGATATTTACAGGTATGAGATAAGTGGTCTCAATGACATAATTATGCGTAATTAAACTTATAACTGCAAGTAGTGCAGACTCATGTGATTTATGTAAATTGTTGTTTACTTATGTTATATGCAAGTCATATCAATAATTATATGTTACAGTCTTGGGAAAACTAATTTTACTATCAGGATATAGTAGGTACCTTTTATATTTCAGTAATAAAATTAATACAAATGTATATTAACAGGAGAAGAAATGGATTTGTTGTTATTGCTATGGAAGCCATGGATCAACTCTTAGTAGCATGTCATGCCAAAACTTTGAATTTATTTGTTGAAAGCTTCTTAAAAATGGTACAAAAATTATTGGAATCCACAGATCCACAGTTACAAATATTGGCAACCCAATCTGTAAGTTCAAAAGAGTACTATTAAATATTTCCATTTGATTATGATTACATATGTTATTATTATTATAATTATGTGTTATATGATTACTACTCTTTTGTTGATGCATTAAATAATTACATCTTTGACATCTTTGAATGTAGTTGAACAAAGTGCTGGCTTCTTCCAGTTTGTCCGATTTGCCAACATCGAACAAGATACGCCGTCTTATCACACACGTTACGATTTCTTTGTATCAAAGTACTCTGCAATGTGCCACTCCAATAACGATGACTCTGCGATCCGCAAACAAATACGACTTGCTGGAATTCAAGGATTACAGGCATGGTTTCTTAATATTCTTTTAGTTCATACCTTGTTACCTTATTTTCATATATATTTATTACGTAATAATTTTAGTGTATTTTCGTTAGATATTTGAAACTTACTTCTACCTTTAATATTTCAATGCATAAGTTAGTAATTCCCATAAAAAAATTAATATTTTTGTATCCCATTGAGTAGTTAACATTTTTTATGTAGGGTGTAGTAAGAAGAACGCTTTCGGATGATCTAGTGGAAAATATTTGGGAACCTGTTCATATGGATAAAATAGTTCCTTCGCTATTGTATAATATGCAAAATTCCAGGTAATATATTCAGAGGAAAGTGAAACAGGCATATAGTATATGTAATGTTATTTTATTCTTGTTATACTGTATTCGCACTTTGGTCTGTTAGATATTCGAATAAAGAAGATGCAACACCAGATAGTCCAACAGAAGAGCGATCAGATCCACCACAATTTGCAGAAACTTGTATGCGAGAACTTGTTGGACGAGCATCGTTTGGTCACATCCGATGTGTTATTAGGCCAGTATTAAGGTTTGTAAATGTTCGCATTTAACGACAGAAAATATTACGATCAAATTGTTATATATTTGTTAATTAGTAACAATTTATCAACACAGATATTCAAAGAATAAAATTTACTTGCAGACATTTAGATAATCATCAACTATGGGTTCCTAATTATTTTGCAATTCATACATTTAGGATAATTATGTTTTCCATTCAGGTTAGTTGAAAATATGTTGAGTCATGAAAGCATAATCTTTAATAAACACGTGAAAATATAATGTATTTGTTTGTAGTCTCAGTATTCTTATACAGTTGTGGAAGCATTAATGACTCATCTTGACGACCACTCAAAGTCATCTCCAAAAATTCGAACAAATATCGCAGATACTTTATCTAAAATTATTTCAATTGCAGCTGGTGAAAGTGTTGGTAAATTTCAATGAATAATGTGAAAGAAAAAAAATTACTTAATGTGTATCGTTTTCAAATTTTTTTTAAACAAACTTTCCTTTTAGGTCCATCTGTTTTGGAAATAATAAATTCTTTACTATCTCATCTCCGAGTTAGTGTAACAAGAAACCAACCATCCAGTAGCGATGAACAATTGTATCAAGAAGCTCTGATTAATGCTCTAGGAGAATTTGCAAATCATCTTCCAGACTATCAGAAAATAGAAATCATGATGTTTATTATGAGTAAAGTTCCATATAGTCAACCAGATCGTATAGTTTCAGTTGGGAAAGCGGACGTATTACTTCAAAGTATTCTTTTAAAGTCTCTTTTAAAGGTAGTTTATGTACAATTTACTACATGAAAATACTAAAAAAATTCAGCTGTTAGTACATTTATTATTCTGTCTGTTTTTAATTATTCCCAGGTTGGCACAAAGTATCAAACTATACATTTGAACACAACATTCCCGCCTAGCTTTTTAGAACCATTATTAAGAATGTCACTCGCAGCAGATGCTGAAATGCGACTTTTGGTGCAAAAGATTTTTCATACTTTAATTGACAGACATCAGAACATTACAAAACTTGCAAAACCTACGTAAGTTATTATTAATATATTTAAAAAATCTTTAAACATTAGTTCAATGGAAATTAATAAACGTTGGATTGCCTTGTATTTGTTAAACAGAGTAAACATAGCACCCCTTGATCTAACTATTGATAAAGCATCCAGACCGGATGTGATCTTTATTCGGAAGCACGGCCCGGAAATTTATTTGGCATTGTACGAATCGTTAGAATTAACAAGTAATACAGTCGAGAACGTGGAATCTATATATACAACATTGGCGTTACTTGCTGTGGAGTTAGCTTCAGAAGAAACGGTATTGGAGTTGCTAAGACTAGTGCTGAGTCTTCAAGATTTAGCTTTAACAAGTGGCCAAATCAGTGTTTCGCTCAAATTCAACCTGCACAGTATTGTCATCAGTTTACTGGTATTGATATCGAATGTTTGTAATATAACTTCACTCATGGATTATGCGAACAAAGTAAGTTCCTATTTATTTAATTTATGAAGACGTTCTACTAACATATTATCAAATTTTTCATTTAAACATTTTAAGATTGTAGAGACACGACAGAAGGAAGCGCCACACCTGTTGCCAGATTTACAGTCTCAATATGACACTGGTTTATCCTCAAGATTAGCACCAGGTTTATTAGTTGATCAAACTGTTTTAAGTGAATGTTTGAAAGGAGCTGGTCTGGACAGTGGGAAGCTACAGCAAGGTTCTGGCTACAGTAGTACTTCTCTACAACATCGGTAGTGTCCATCGTTTTGTTTTGAGTTTTTCTGCTCTTTTCATACTCCATTTAAACGTGGGATCATGAATGAATAATATTAAATTATTGTTTTTAGACATTCGTGGGTTGAGAGTGCTGGACGAAATTCGTTAGCCGATATTAATTCCGGTGGTACCGAATTGGACAGCGGTGGCTCATCTCCTGGTGTTCAAAAGGTACATACTTGTTAGTTATAGTTACAGTATATTTTTAACCTCTTTTTGACATTCATAACACTTCCATTATATAGAAATTACCGGGAGAAGAGTTGACATTTGAAAGTATGAAACGAATTCTAACAGAAAATAATAATAACCACGTGATGGAAGAAGAAAAGCGATTGCAATTATCACACTTCTTCAGAAACGCTCCATTCCAAGATTTGGTGTCAAAGACTCAACCAAAGGTACGGAAATATTGATTTATCTATCTTTATTGATAAAATAATATAAATTGCTTCTAATGGTTTGGACAATTTTACAGCATGTTGTTCTCCAAAGTAAATTATCAGAAATATTTAACACGTTAGCCGTCGATCCACGAAATACTTCTCAACCAGGCGGACCACCAACAGATACCAAACCCAGTCAAGCGCCAGCTTATGAAATACATTTCCCGGAATTGTTTGTTTATTAGATCAGTATATGTTCATGGAAGTGTAAATAGTTCTATGCTACTGTGATTGTCGATTGTTTAATCATAATTTCGTTAAGTTATTTATATATTTACATTGGAAGTAGATATATAAAGAAGTTTGCACTGTTTACATGTAGTGCATTTTAATAACTTTATTAATCTCTATTTATGTAGTCTAAATTATTCTCAGTTATATAAACATACATAAATAGTGTGGGATTATCATCTTTCTGTTTGTACAACTAATTACGAAACACCCTGTATATATTTATGCTTAATTTATGAAAGAATTAACAATTATTCTTATCGTTAATCCAATTGGTAAATAATAAACGTTATATCGATTTTTATATCATTTTCTGATATATTATAATAATTTGTACAAATACTTGAAGTGAATTGGAGGTGTTACGTTTCCACTCGTGACCTTCATGAAATAACACTACTGATATATTCTACATTGTTGACATTATTGACTCATCAGTCGAATACTAACACTACAATCTTATGTTGAAGAGATGTACTTTATTGTTGCATACCACTGGTGTAACTTGTATAAAAATGTATACAAGATTTTAGGTGAACATAATGTATACATAATAGAGAGTACTAACATTGTAAAAAAAGTGAAATATCTATGTAAATTGTATTTAAAATAATAGTAGTTCAAATCCGTCAAGTCTTTGGGAGTCTATTAATGGGAACATAATCATGGACTAATAAACACACGTTCACACTTCAAAACAAGAACATTTTTTTTATTGAATTTTTGCATGTAAAGGTCCATACTATTATAATATCAGTACAATTGTTCTTCTCTGCATTATTGCAAGATTTTGTACAAAATAACCAGGTGATTACCAAGTACTAAGGAATTGGAATGAACATAGATGTCAGATTATATGTATATCAAATGGTTTAAAATTTATTTAATTCAATTACTCATAATAGAAATGCTACATATCAACATGAAATGGAATAATGTAAACGGTTAATCTTATCCAGACATAAAAGAATGCAAGAGATATTTTTATACTCCTCATCAATTGGTCATTGAACATTTGTGTACAATTGCAATTTATAGCATATTTAATGGTGCAATAGTAGAACACAGAAATTAAAGTCTTAAATTTTTTCATCCTTACGAGCAATCGAATTAAGGTTAGTATGCAAAACATACCACTCGTACAATGACTACTTAAGGTAATGCAATTTGAAGCTTTTAATTATCAGTGGTTCTGATGTGTGTACATAGTTAATTTGGTTCACCCTGGAAAACTCTTCATGGTTCCACCTTCAACAATTCCACATCAAAGATAAGGACAGCATTTGGTGGAATAGTGTATCTTTGTCAAGGATAATATAACAAACATATTACACATATAATAAACTAAAAGATCTGTTATGATATTGGAGTAAATAGTAATACGTGTTAAATTATAATAAATTTGTTGTTTCTAATCGATATCAGTTAAGTGATCATTTGCCATAATATGGTGAAATGAATTTTTATAAATAACTTTTGACTAATTCAGTATACAATACCATTAGAAATTATAATTAAAATTCCAATTATTTATAGAAATTTTACATATCCTGTCTTATTCATTATGAAGAAAAATAACTTTACCAAAAGAAATAACTATTTAAAACATAATTCAAATCAATTTCTCACTATCCAACATGTTTTTATATACACTTATATCTTTTGAAACAAACCTACACTACAAGTAATAATATTATAAATATTTATTTCATATTAAAGGATATACGCCAGGATGTCCTCGGCTACCATAGGCATAGTCTGGCGAGCAAGTTAACTTAGAACGCTCGCCGACAGACATTTGAGCAATTCCTTGCTCCCATCCTTTAATAACTTCTCCTTTACCTATTTTGAATTTAAATGGTATGCCACGGTCCCTGCTTGAGTCAAACTTTTTTCCATTGTCAAGGAAACCTATTAGACATTTAATAGGCATAATTTAAAACTTTTTAACAAATACTTCTTTGGTATTAACAGATGAGATTCTCTGTTTAAATAACTTGCAGATTTATGTATATATGTTGATATATATGTTCAACAGTGACCATGCTGTATCTGTTTATAAGCTACTCTATAAATATGTTATACAAGAAATCGAGTGTTTATTAATATTCACATAACAGTATTCAAATAATAAAGAATATAAAGAGTTTAATTATTTTTATAGTTCACGTTCTACATACAAGCGAAATATCCAGATATGAACTATTAAACACGTTTACCTACCTGTATAGTCGACAATTACAGTCTGTCCCAGTTTTGGATATGTCTCGCCTGCACATACGAAACATTGTTTATAAAGAATATTTGATTTTAACTGAAGAGTACTGATTACTGAAATCCTACAAAATTCGATGAATGCATTAACAAACATTCGAAATCATTCTTATTTGGAAGAGTCCCCGTAGACGAGTAATGCTTTTCATAGAATTTCAGATTGTAAATAAATCTGCGTCGATATGACTGCGGCATATTTTAATCGGAGTATGATTAAAACGATTTGACCAAAGTAAGTAGTTTGGAAGATGAAGAAATGGGTAAATAAATCGAACCGAAAGTAACAAAAATTGCAAAAGAACAGGAAATCAACACGAAATATCGTGTACAGAATAATTACCATCCCCATTAAAAATAACTTCTATCTCCACGCCCATGATTACGTATTTTCTGTCACAGAAATCGGTTCTTCGATGAAGAAACGATAAATCTTGCTACGAAAAGCCGGGCGGTTTGTACCGGTAAGCAAAATTCACGTAAACGTGGTCCTTGTGGCTATCAAATGGCGATGCCAGTCCAATGCTGTTCGTTGAATTGCGTTAATATAACAAGGTACCTGCAGTCGCCTGCAGATACCCTCGGGAAAGAAATTTTAACTGGAAAAGCCGCCGGTAGGTTCTCTGCTATCTCACAACTTCCGGTTAACATACGACGGATCAATGGCAATATTTCCGACCGTGGTAAATTTAAACCACACACTTCTTTGTTCATTCATTTTAACTTCCGCACAAAAATTGTGTTGCTTTGCAAAAACTGACTTGTTTTCCAATTTAGTGTTGTTTATGCTCACGGGATTAATTATAGAATGTTTTATAAAGAACTATTAATTTTCATACATTTTATTACTATTTTCATGTATAAAATTAATAAGTAGGATAACTTAATAAGTACATATGCAATATTATATGGAATTTTTATGTATCACAACTATTTTAATGTATATAAACACATAAGCACACAACAGAAAATACTTAAAGACTATGTATTTGTAAAATAAATAAAAAATTCTGTAGATTATATAAAGTTGTAAATTATAAACAGTCACATTATTTATAATTATATCTTTATGTATCTAGTAAAATGTACCCAAATAAGAACAACTATGTTACTCCATTATTTTATGTCACTGGTTAAGATACAATCTGTGAAGTACCTATTATACTTAGTAACTAAGTAGACAGCAGATAAATCTTTATACTTTAAAATCAAGTACATTTTAATTGGTGCAAAAGTAATACCCCGTAACTTATGCCAACTCCATTTAAGATCATTAAAACATTATCAATAATTACTATACAATAATAAACAGCACGATAGTTTAAAAATATAAAATTTGTAAGTCTAAAAAAAGGTATAACAGTTTTTAAATGCATTCAATGATCATTGTATATAACTTAATGTAATAATACTGATATAAATATTAAAATCTATGATTTCTTTGTATCTACATCATATATTCTTTCTAATAAAGCTGACGATATACTTCCAGGTATTCTTTGATGTTGCCTTATTAAATTATTAAGTTCATCTGCAACCTGAAAGTAATGATAATAACAACTGTAAAGTATCCAGATAGCTATACCATATAATATTATTACACATTTACTATTATTACTATGTGTATTTCTATTTACCTTTACTTGTAATTCCTCTGGTGTGAGGCTTCCATCATATGGAATTGGTTTACCAACATATGTTGTTAATTTAACTGGAAATCCACCATAAATGGGAACAAAAGGAAACCTTGTTGCAGCATATATTCTCAACCACATTCTTCTACCCCAACTTATGGTTCTAAATGCTTCTCTAACATTTTTTGTAAAGAAAGGTATTATGCACTGTTACAAAAATATTAATGTTTCAAACTGGTCCCGATACAAAGAAAGAGATATAACAATAAAATGACATACCACTTTCGCATCTAATGCAACCTTAGCAAATCCCACTCGTTTCTTCCACATCAGGTGATAATAAGAATCTCCAAACTGAGCTTCGTATACACCACCAGGTGAAATAGCAAGCATGTTACCTTCTTTCAGAATATTAGAACATATCTGAACAGTACCAGGTATGACTTTTAACACATCAGAAATTATGGACCATCCAGGACATTTAAAAAGAAATCTATCTGCTACTGTATGGATTAATTTTGAATTTGTAAGCAATACTTTCGATATGAAATAATAAAGATCCACTGGAATTGCTCCATGATAATATACAAAAAGTACTGGTTGATTTTCTGGTATATTTTCCAATCCAATCACTTTGTACCCTAAAGAAAGCTTCATTTTAATCATAAAAACATTATGAACCCTAAACATTCAAGAGTATACATTATATTATGTAGTATTTAATACAGCATAGTATGTACAATCATTACATACCATACCATATCCAACCATGGGCATCCCAAACTGCAGCTACTACATTACGAGCTGCATTTCTCCAGTCAGTTTCATATGCACTTCTTAGTCTAGCTCTATCAATGTAAGATACCACATATTTATATATATATATAAAGTATTTGATTTGTTGAATATATTTGAACTGGTAAATACATACCTATGTAACTTGTATACATATAATATTAATGCTGTCAGATATAGTAATGCTGCGATCACAAGTGGTAGTAAAAATGTTATCAACAGTGGCATTAAAAGCCATGATAACCAAAGTGTAAAATCCACATCGATATACTCAACTAAAAATAATATTTTCATGAACTAATTATTAATATATAGCTTGACTATAATATAACATATAAATAAATACATAAATGAAATCTATAAATGATATTAGATAAACATCTACATAAAATTTGATCACGTATTAAAAATATATAATAACCGACCAAAATAAAAATTTGTAACAACTAAACATGCTTATAACATTATGGATTTTTTCTTGCAAATTGTGATGTTGGTGTTCCTTTAATATACACACATAAAACAATATGTATCAATAATATGTATAAAATAACATTTTTACCTATAGTATCTTCTAAAATTTTCCTTAAGTTCAAGATCGTAGAAAACATGTTTAGATAGTGAAAAAAAAATGAAAACAAAGGTAAATGTGTTTTTATAATTACAACAATAAATTCGATATTGCTTTATGAAACACCCACATATTCAGTACTGTCAACGCAGGAATGAGACTCAGGAATGAAATTATAATTTTCGTGTCGGCTTTTCCTGAAGCACTCATTTATATTCCGGAATAATTTGGTCAAACAGTTAATTGAATTCATAAATATTCCACTATGAGCTCTTTATACTCTGTTATTCTATGCTTTTATGTGCGTTTATTAATGTTTAATACAACACTTTATTGTTCGTGAGTCATTAAAATATTCTTGCATCAGTAATATATAAATATTTTTATTTACTGTGTGACATTGTGTATATGACAATCATTTGTTAAAAGTTTAATACAGATATGTAATTACAAAAATGCAATAAATCGACAAGTAACAACTGGTTTACGGTATCATGTATATATACATATATGTAGTACAGGCTGGAAGGCTAATATGGTAGGTTGGGTTGGGTAAAGTCAAGCCTGACTCTCGCGTTGTTGCCATTTTTACCTTCAGCACAGCTAGTACTAGAGTCGGCTGTGGCTCCGTCTATATATGTTTTTGGTCAAATCATATAGATAACACGCAATATGAATGAAATATGTGCTAATAATACTCAGATTCACTTCATTTGTGCTAATAATACTCAGATTCATACTTTATCGGTAACGTCGGGTATTGACACTAAACTGGTAACAGGGCTACGTAGCCTGCGAACGTGAGACAGAAAAAAATATTGGATGATAGGTCTATTCTATACCTCGTCGGTGACGGCAGTATCCGCTCCCTACAACCGTTTTTACGTGAGGGAATGCATTTACACACACCCCCGCCATCCTCCAATGTGGGAGGAGTGGGGCGGGGGTAGTGTGGGACTCATCCCCAATAGGGCAAGGCCCAGGGGAAATACCCACTAAACCCTCACGGTGGCCGGGCTCGGCGTTATGTGGGGAGGCACCGGGATCTCTTGCGAACACAACCGGTACCTCCCCAGCGCTAGCTCCGCCAGTTAACGGCGGAGCGCCCTCTCTGTGGTGGGGGAAGCGGGAGCTCCCCCCCCCCACCGGACCGCGGGTGCCGCAGTCCCGCGATCCCAACAGTCCCTTTTAGTCGCCTCTTACGACAGGCAGGGATTACCGTGGGCGTATTCTATTCCCCGCTACACAGGGAGGCCGCTCCCTACAACCGTGTCCCTACTTCCCAGTTCCCTACCATAAGATCGAGCAGTCCAGCGCAGTGATGCCAGGACGTGGGATTTTTCCCACGCATGCGCACTACCTAATCCTCAGTAACGTATATACTTCACTCAAATATGGGGTATCGTTAGACCCCCGTGACAATTGAAATACGGTAGAAATTATAGGAAGAGGACATTTTTAAAAGAAATAACATATTTACATGGAAATAAATGAATATATATTTTTTTATTATTTTGTACATCTGCAGCCGATTTATTACATGAATACAAACATTTGTTGCGAGAGTAAGAAAAACTGCAGAAAACCTTACTAGTATTCAAACAAGAACATTATATATAAAACATATAGTCGTGCTTTCATCAATTAATATTGAAAATTTCTGAATTTTTAATTCTGTAATAAGCTTATCGCTTTCGCGTTTGCCTATTACATTTTTTATTATCTGCGTACATTTAGTTCGTGACAATTTTAGATCCTTAACCACCTGCGGATCTGAACAGGTTTCCTTTAATAAAGGGACCATGTGATTAATTGTTTGAAAAGCTATATTGTGCTCCGCGTAAAACGCAGCTAACTTTATTTCGGCTGTTTTGACTTTATTAACATGGTCCAAATCAGAATTACTATCAACTTTTGGTAATAAAACAGATGGTGTGATATCACAGCTTTTGCTTGTATTTTTAATATGTAATTGAGTCCGCGAATGTCTAATAAGTTCTGATTTTCCGCATGCCAAGACTTTATTGCAAGCCGTGCAGAAAGCTTTTTTATTATTATCAGATTTTAACCAGTCTTTGAAAATATTATTCTTTAGCCAAGATAATTGGAATACTTTCCCTTTGTTACTTCTCTTCTTATCCGCCAATCCACTCGAACTAGGCTGCTGGTAATCCATCTTCTGGTTTCTGTCACTGTAATACACTAATATTGCACTACAATTCAATATATTATATAACATTACGCGACTCACCTTCACTTTAACGAAAAACGCGGGAAACAACTGGGAAGGGCCCCTTACGCGTACCTACTGTTGCACATAGATACATCCATGGAAACAACCGCCGTCGAGCTGTGACGTCAGCATGCGCATGCGCACGAAGGCTCCCATGTGGGAGAAAATCCCACGTCCTGGCATCACTGGTCCAGCGCAGTCTAGTATGCGTATATGCTATGTCACAGCACAGAACATTGTAGGATAGATGGGAATACTGTTTTTCGTAGTGTTTCTGACAAGCACTAAAAAGTTGAGGTGAGGTGGACTGTGGACTCCTATTTTGTTCGGCGTCGGCGATGTATGAAAAAGCAATTTCACGTAACTTTTAGTAATTACTAATTCAGTAAAAAACGGAATGAATCTATTTGTAAGGTGAATCTCAGAAAGGAAAATTTGTTTACAGTTGCAAGATATCAATAAAAGTATTTTCGTAAACGAAATGTTTCCATTATCACGCAATTATTTCATGTTGTATTTTTAAAAGGTGTCAGTGGTTTCGTCATCTCATCGTAAATGTGCAAGAGTGAATTACATATGAATGTCACTGCAGGTACAAATTCATGTTTTTTAAAATTTTGATAACATATTTGTATGAATACTTATCTAACAGTATTATTAATTGCGTTGTACTCGTGTAATACTTGTCCGATTGAAAGGTTTTTTCGTTGTCAACGTATCATTCCGTCATTATCGTGTAGTTTATAGTAACACACGTTAACCTGCGTTAACCGATCAGTAAGTTTTTAACGACGTATCGCTAGCTAACAAAATGGTCTTGTATTTAATATTTCATTGTCGGGGTTTAATTTGACAAGATCAGTGTTGTTTAACGCGACAGAAATTTGTTTTGGACATAGCTTCTTAATCTGACTTTAATAGTTTCGCCATTTTGCAATAGAAATAACAATACCTTCTTAATTGAATATTCTGAAAATTAAATGTAAATACCAGATGTAACAATTAGTACTTAGTCATGTTGTCACATATGTGTATTCTAAGTATTTCGTTAGTTTCTTCTTGTAATTTAATGTGCTATGTTGTTGTACAACCTGTTAATTTATAATTTTCTGTGAAAGTGTACATAAAAGAAACAAGTATTTCCACATATTTTTTTATAACATCTGTTTTTACAGGTGTAAAATGGTAACAAAATACTAAAAATCTCACAGAGACAATGTCACACAACGATTTATTTCACATTTATTCATCACGTGGGCCTGATCCCTCTGGGAGAATAATAAGTATAGGATATTCTGGTATACCTGAGCCTAATATTAATCGTCTTCCAAATATAGAAGTAACTATAATAAGACGCCTTTCTAATGTAAGACCAGAAAGACAAGCTAATGTTTCAAATAATGGTAAAAATTATTATTATCTATATACATATTAATGGATATGTTCATAATCTGTGAGACATCAATGTACATTATCATTCAAATTATCATTGTATATAAATCATGCAATGTATAACACATAAGTATACACATATTTGTTAGCTAAATATTTTGAACAAATGTACAAAAGATTAAAGTATAAATGAGATCCTATAACTTTAAAAAAATGCTAATATTATAATCAGTTTTTTAAAATAAAATTGAAACAAAGTTTTGTATGTTAACTGTACAAGACAGTTTCAAAGATTAAATTTAATTAAAACACTAATATTTATTTATTCTTGGTAGAAATATCTGATGCTCAAGCTGGAGACGTTACATCTAATGAAGAGCTATTACCTGAATCTGCAGATAATACACAACCAACGAGTGATGTAACCGATGGAGCATCTTCTCCAAATCAACCAGAAGTCAGTGCACCAACAGTCAACTCAGAAGATGAGTACGTATAGTATTTCATACCAGGATTGAATTTAAGGTCAAACAAAACAGGTTTAAATATATGTGCATAGCATAAATAATTTTTCTTCAATGTAGCAGGAGATACTGTTGGGTGTGTTTTGCAACAGATGAAGACGATGCAACTGCTTCATGGGTAAAACCATGTCATTGTCGTGGTACAACTAAATGGGTTCATCAGGGTTGTATACAGAGATGGGTTGATGAAAAACAAAAGGGACGTGCAGGTGCTAATGTAGCATGTCCGCAGTGTAACACAGAATATATTATTGTATATCCAAATATGGGTTAGTTATTATTCAATTTTTTTAAATTTAAAATATTTATTTACTATGCAAATTATACATAGAATAAATGTGTTAAATATTTCAGGACCGTTAGTAGTTGTATTGGATAACATTGATGGAGTAATATTTCGAATCTGTCCATACATAGCAGCCAGCATTGTTGTTGCATCTATGTACTGGACAGCTGTGACATATGGAGCAGTGACTGTAATGCAAGTAGTTGGATATAAAGATGGTTTAGCCATGATGGAACAAGCCGATCCTTTAGTATTATTAGTTGGATTACCAACTATTCCAATACTATTGGTTTTGGGTAAAATGCTGAGATGGGAAGATCAAGCCCTTAGCCTTTTCAGACGACATGCATGTAAGGTTCCTATTCTGAGGTATTTTTTGCCCAATAGGTATGTGTAAACATAAATTTTAAATAAGTAAGTTATGTGTTCTCTGAATTAATTCTTGAATATACATATATATGTATATATATGTATCTATATATTGTTTCAGTTATTCTGGTGATGATAGAGCCCAATTTGAAGAAGTGCCACCTATGAGCGATCCTGTGTCAACGACACGTATTCTTTGTGGTGCACTTCTATTACCTAGCATTGCCAGTATATGTGGCAAAATATTCTTTGAGAGCATACACTCCAATTTTCAGAGAACATTACTTGTATGTGTTAAATAATATACGTTTACTAATAATAGTAGAATTTAATAGTGATTAATGTCTTCTTTGAAATTTTGTAGGGTGGTATAGCATTTATAACAATAAAGGGTGCATTCAAGATATATCATAAACAACAACAATATATAAGACAATGTCAACGTCGTATAATGGATTATACAGATGATAATGTTGCACTATACAGAAGACAACAAAATTCCGACTCCAATCAAACAAGTTAAATATAAAAACCCCGTAACCAATCCTTACATCTGCTATCCTCAAAACACTGTATCTTCTCAGATTTAGAGGAATTAAACTTCTTAGTATACTTTTACCATAACAACAAATGTCCAATGTATTACTTTTATGTAACAATGTAAGTTTATGGGTACTATGATCGGATTTAACAAATACGTAAGATATATGTGTGTATATATATATATGTATATGTAAGAATGGGAAATTGTCATTATATACATAATTCTGGTTAGTAAATTATTATAATATGTCTGGCATGAAATAATTACTTGTAAGAAATGTTATATCTCTTAAATGTGTTAGTAGAACAATGACAGTGTCTGTTCATCCTTCCTTGAGTAGTAAATAAGGAATATAAATTGAACTATGCCGAAGATGTTTCTTCAGTGCAATTCTATTTTTTCATTGCTGTAAGTATAACTCGCTGAAGTCTTTTATGTAATTTAAAACGCGCATGGTTTAAGGAAAAAGTATTTACTTACTTTTTGATTTATTTTTTGGGCAATCACTTTCGTAGTGGAAAGGGTAATAATTGTGGAAATTAGGAAATACATATACTCTGTGGTAAAATTATAATTTATTGTAATAAAATTGTACATTTTCTGAAATTTAGAACGCGCATAGTTTCCCGTTCATCAAAATATTGATAAACCTACTGTCTAAAATCTAGAAGTTACTCGTAAGTTTGCTTACTATGTAAAATGGAATACATTCTTTAATAAAGGTTTATTTGTAATATAAATAAGTTTTGGGTTAGATATGAAAAATATATTAATATATACAATAAAATGAATTAAATGCTTTATTTGCTGTAGACATAAGGAACTAGTAAACATTACTTCAAATCATTTGACTGTTGTTTGTCTAAATGTGGACAAATAAATTACATGACAATATATTGTAATTGTGAATGTGAATTAATTTACATAAGTATGTGGTATATAAAATGACTATTTCTAGAAATGTTACAAGTAGTTTAAAGGAATTAGTGTATAGTACAAATAGTTCAGGTACTGGAGGAATCTCTCGAAAAAGAGTTATGTAATATACAAATATATTTATTATTGTTATTTTTTTTGGAAATGTAATTTTTTGAATGAATTAAGTACAATATTCATTTGGAAAATATTCTCTCTAATTGTCTTCAAATATAATAAGTAACCTTTCTTGTTCGTAAGTACCACAAACAGTTCAATAAAAAGAATGCAATTTTTACACCATGTAAAGAAATACATATTTTTCTATACTTCAAGTATCTACCTTTATACAAATAGAATTTTTCTTTTTATTCTATTACTACCATACATTTCTTATCATACTTTACATGTAATTTCTAGGTACTATAATACATTCTCTGTTTACATTCCATTTCTTGTACCAAGGAGATAGAAAATTTAATGTAGTTATTTATACAGAACGTTTTAATAACTGACAAATCAATAAAAATGCAAAACACTATTGCATGTGTTTCATGTAAAAAAAAATAAATAAATTTCTAATATTACAGAATATTAACAGTACTAAATAAAACTGAAAGCAATGATACAAAGTATAAAGTAACTGCTATTGTATGAAACTTATGTCTTATTCTGAACATATAATAAGCTACTCATTAGAAATAAACAATAACAATGTATATTCAATGAAAACTTAAATACTCCTAAGACTCTTTGATACAATTCAAATTATCATCGAATTATAAATCAATGCTGCAAAATGTACATTTTTTAACAAATTGAATATAAAACATGTGTTGATATTCACGTCACATTAACGGTGGTCCTGTGTACTTAAGACTTGCAGAATTGAAATCTGGTAGACCTTCGAAAACTAATAGCTTTACTTCTTCAATTACATCTGGTAAATCTGTACATAATTTAGAACTTATAGCTTTGAAAAAGGTACATGGACGTGGACCCTTTCCACAATCATCTACATCATAAGGTGGACTAAGTATGTCCAAGAATGCAGCAGGTCCTTCGATACATGAAATTTCATGTAAATTTTTTTCTCTTGGTGTAAGAATGCAAGCAGGTGAACTATTGTGTACATATATTGGTCGATGTCTGAATGCTGCTATTTCTTTATTTAATTTGATTATATGATCATCACTTGTATTCAAAGTATAACTGTTCAATTGAACTGCACCACTAATTACCTGTATATTAAAGTTTAAAACAAAAGTCAATCTACTTATACCTTCAATGAAAAAAATATTTAATTTACATACCTTTAAAAAGCCATGCATTCCAGGATGATCATGCATTGGCATTGTAACTCCATGTTTCAATATAAAAATTGAAATAGTCAAATCTTTATTTTCAAATATGTCAATAACACACATTGGGGCAGCTTGTATTTGTATGAAATCAAGAACTTGCTTATTTAAATTTACATCGTCGGCTGTGATTTTATTCATTAAATTCCATAATTTATCAAAATTCTTTTGACAAAGCTTGAATCCAACATTTCTTCGTCCGTCAAATGTTTTTAGTGCTTGTTTCCATAAAATTTCAATTGCAGACGTCATATTTGCAGAACTTATACCCCTATCTTTGTGAATTCACCTTCGAAAAATCATATTGTTACATTAATGCGATGCTAACAAAGCATTAAAAAATTTAAAAAACATATAATTCACGAAACGTCATTAAAGAAGTAGACCTATATAACCTTGACTATCGTAATATAAAATTCCTAATTGAGTATACATAACAGAGATTTAAATATGTCTATGATTTCAACTAAATAAAAATTTTAATACATACCGTTAAGATATTATACACAAATCCAATTCACGTTATATTCTCTCCGATAACTTCATTGAACAAATATTGTGAAAATCGTTGGTTTTTTACTTAGAGGTTAAATTAGATTATATATATACAGATTACTTTCCCATCATGCATAACAATTCATTACCCGATATGGAAAATTTAAACAATAAAACAATAAAACATTATGGACGTATATTCTAATATTTTATTTACTATTTGGTTCGTTCTGATACTTCACAGTTGATATTAAACTATGCTAAACATGGCCAGGTGATTTGCTAATTTGCTACAACACAAGTGATAATGTAAACATGAGGTTGAGGGTGAATGTTTAAAGTTAACGCCACTCAGTTTGTTAAATAAATGTTAACATTAAAATCTTACTATATTTTAAAACATTTCACACAAAAATTGGTATTTGTATACATTTTTTTCATTAATTCCCATTTTTACGAAAAATACAACGCCGCAAATACTTTGAAATTTATTTGATGTAAGTAAATACATTTTTATAAATACTAAATGTATTAATATATACACAACAGAGATGGAAAGAAATTATCATACATGATTTTGATTCGTTGATTCTTATTGATTCTTATAAAGCCGTCGAATCATATCTTCATCTTTATAAGAATCAACAAATTCAAGTCATGTATAATAATTTCTACCCATCTCTGAACACAGCAAACACAATATGTAATTGCCAAATTATTTATATAATTTGTTACGTTCGCCTTCGCAAATTTTTAAGCTTTGTGGGAAAAATGGCGTGAGCTGGGATCTATGCCTATGGGGTGCTTTTGGTTGTAAAAGTAAATTCAAATATTCCACTAAATAACCATAACAATTTAAGCTATTCACAACTCTGAATTTTTAATTTAATTTTAATATGACTTTACATTTATATAAGTGGGTTTATTAAGAACTTTTACAAATATTTTTGTGTTTCGAGAACGTGTCCGGATTTAATGTACAAAGATGAATACCGAAAAAGAAACAAGAAACATCATTTCCTCGCCCGATCGCAAAACAAATACAATTTGTTGATTATCTGAATATCATAGATACCGACATCCAATCAGGGAATTATTAATTAGTTAAACGACTTCCTATTTGTCGATGCATTTCCTTTCAGTTATCGATTATCCAATTGGCGAGCGTTTTAACATCTCGACATTGATTTGCATATTAGGAGAGGGAGATAAATGCACTGATCAGCACCACGGTCTATATACAGGTCCGGAAACTCCAGTGATGGGGGTGATCCACTGCAGAGGATGGAAACTCCCATGCTAAACGGTGGGATAGTGTTTTGAACGCCATCTAAAATATGAAACTTTCAGCGGAACTAAAATTCTAATATGGCGACCAAATACCGCTAAATTTGAATGCATATGCAACGTAGCCACCGACGAGGTATAGGATAGACCTATCATCATATGGGACTTCGTGTCTCATGTTCTGAAATACCGATAGTGTAAAAAGTCCGGGATTTTCTGCTGCCCTCTACGTTATGAGAACGGTGAATTTGTGAACTACGTTAAATCCATTCGAGCTCAACTAGTCTAACTTCTACAGTGTTGTCGAGTCTAAAGTACAATGTTGTCAGATCATGAGTGTTCGGTACGTCGGAAAATCATCGAAGGGACCATGGTCGTGAACGGATTCTCTTTCGTCCGTTCACTGTAAAGTAGACGTATTAGAAAGGAGTCTTGGGTTCCAGTCCCGACGGACCTATTGGTTTTTTTTCGCGTACAAAAAAGTTATTGCGCTTAATATTGTTTTTATGAATATGTATATATATATATATATATTATTATGTATATTTGAGTAAATTATTTTATTATTCTATTGTTATTACAACATTTTAATAGTGACAACGAACGCATGTATATTTTCAAATATCGGACTAACAGTATATTTTTATTCTATATTATTACATATAAGTGAGTAATACGTATCAAAAACGTAATCGAAACACAGATTTTTATTACACCACAAACATCGCATAAAAGATATTTCGTTATATTGACATTT